AATTTGGGGATATTTGATAAAAATTCACTTACTAAAAAGGAAAGGATTTTTTTGAAAATAACAACCCCAAAATTTACCCTGTATTGAAATAACCACCTGTTTTTTTTCGAAATTAAAAAATACCACCCATTAATGTCAAAACCAGTAGATTTCACCACCTTTTTCTAATTCCGGCCAGTTTTTTTACTAGTTTGGCCAGTTTTCCGACTTAGGGACCTACAAATTATAAAATAACCCAAACCCACCACTACCACCTCCGGCACCCCTCCCCTTTCCCGTTTCCATTTTTGGCATCCACTCCCTTCCCGACCTGTACCTGTTCCTGCAATCTCCTCCACTCCTCAATCTCACCACCACCTTCAAAACCACCCCAACCCACCTCTTCTATAGTTCTATCCATAGTCACCAACTCACCAATGTCAACCCATATCTCCACAATAATCAATAAATATCTAAATCTCCTCCTCTTCCTCTCCCTTCTTCAATCAACGACAAACTCACTCAAAAATCTTATCAAACCAACAAATCAAAACCCTTAAAAACAGTAAATTAAAAAAACAAATTGAAGAGTGCAACGTTGGAATGAGCAGAGGAAGAGGCGACGTGCGTGGGTGTTTCGTGAGGAAATGGCGACGTGCCTAGGGTATTTTGAGGAAGCGACGAAGTGGGTGGGGTTTGGTGGTGAAGCGGTGATGTGGATATGGGTTAGGGGTTAGGGGTGGGGGCTAGGCAATAAGTCTATTGTGCACCCTGGTCCATCTAGGATAGCTGGACCACAAGCGATTGTTTAGATTTTATTACCAAATGTTCAAAAGCATGGATGTGGTGCAGGTGTTCGGATTTTTTACAAAATGTTCAAAATTTGCAATTGTTTAGTTTTTTTTTTACGAAATGTTTAAAAGTATAGGCATACATTGAGATTGTTCAGATATTTTTACTAAATGTTCAAAATTTACGAGGTTCAGATTTTTTTTTACTTAATGTTCAAATTTTGCAATTGTCCAGATTTTTTTTTACCAAATGTTCAAAAGTATAGGTGTGGTCATTGCAATTGTTCAGATATTTTTACTAAAAGTTCAAAATCTGCGATGTTCGGATTTTTTTACTAAATGTTCAAAATTTGCAATTGTTCAGATCTTTTTACTGAATGTTCAAAAGTATAGGCGTGGTACATTGCGATTGTTAGGATATTTTCACTAAATGTTCGACAATTTCGATGTTCATATTTTTTTAAAAAAATGTTCAAAAGTATCAGGTAATCGATCATAATAGATACGAATTGATCGATCAAATTAATTTCAACAAATTCAATTGATATTAAAACAATGATTTCATCTACAAATTCATCTCAAAATTAAAAAAAAGGAAATTTTAGATTTTGACACCTCACAAAAACGAAAAAATTGATTTTAACACCCCCATATAAAAAATGGATTTTAACACCAGATAAATTTCTAAAAATTTGGTATTACCACCACTTAACTGATTCCATTTAGGAATCCGTTAAGTGGGTCCATAAGCCACGTGTCGTGTTATTATTGGCCAAAAAAGAAAAAAAATAAAAAAAAATAAAAAAAAAACAACCAAAAACTACCCAGCCACCACCATAGCGCCACCCCCACGCCACCGCTGTCTTCCCCCCAACTCACCACAGCCCTCCCCGAAACCACCACCCGTGTCGCACCACTAACAGGCTAAAGTCTTATCACCTAATCAAAAGTAATTCCTAAATCCTCTAACTAATGTAGATAGGAAGTAGGGTTGAATCCACAGGGAAACTAGTCTTTCTATTCCTAATTAATTAAAGCAATCTAAATTATCAAGTAACAATTTAATAATATGGATATACAACTAAACTACGGAGATTAAGAGTAAAGAGAAAACAATGAATAAAGGCCTAGGGCGGCATAGGTTCACCAATAAATAACATTCTAGGGTAAAACATAATAATCAATCATCAATGCATCAATTAATTAGATCATAAAGGGCTTTCGCTACGTATTACAATCACAAAATTAATCTACCGGTATTAAATCTCATCTCTCAAATCTCGACTTAACCATTTATAAATTAACCTGCCTATTGAAACTAGACCTAAACATCAATTCTCATCTCTCGAATCTCGAATTAATATTGTCAAACTCATGCATAAAAGATCAGGCCTAATCTAGTCACAGAGCATTAAATTTATCAATAGGAAATTAATCTAACATTGACAATAAACAATCATAAATTACCCCTTCATATTATTTATGGATCCCCACAAACCCTAGGAAGGAAACTACTCACACATAATTAAATCTAAACTAATCAAAGCAATAAAATAAGACATGATCGAAGAAATAAAATAAATAACTGAGATTAAAAGAAAAGAAATCGTTACCAAAGTAATCAGGAGTTAAGAGTTGAGTAAAGAACAAAGTTGTAGAGAGATAAACTAATCTAAAAGCTAAGTAGAGAGAGAAAATCTAAGAGAAATATTAAGAAAAGAGTAAAAAAGGATACTAAACTTGCTTAACGGAAAAGTATTTATATTAAGTAAGAATCCTAAACTAAAACAAACTTAAACGACGATTAAAATTCTACTAATGCTGACACGTGCCCGATCGGGCGAGGCACCGCCCGATCGGGCCCACCTTTTTACTCTAAGTGAATGTTTCTCGCATCCGCCGGGCACAAGTTCGGGCGCCAGCTTCTCTTCCCCGCCCGACCGAGCGCGCCTTCGGGCGGGAGCTCTAATGGCCGGACGACACTCTTGGGCTACTCCTTGGACTTCGATTGGGCTCCAATTCTTCGGGCCAATCCGGATTTCCTCTTCGGGTCTTGAATACTCGGTCCAAATGCCCCGGTATCACATATACCGAGCCCTTAATCACCGGTTCGATGGCTCTAACCGACCCTGGGCTATAAAAACTGGTCGTGCTTCTCCAATGCTCGTAAATACTCCATAATATCTCGGGAAAATGCTCCAAAAGTGCAAATCCCTACAAAAGTCAACCAAATCTACGAAAACACTAGAAAACACTAATTAGTAATAAAAGTGGCTCTAATTAGCCAAAAACACAACTAATTATGACCAAGGGACGGGGTAAAATACTATATAAAATAGACACATCAACCAACACCCCCAACCCACCTGAACCCTCCTTCTCTCTTTCCCGCAACCGTATCGCCCCCAAAAACCACCAAACCCAAAACCCTTGTTCCCCAAAACAGCCACGAATCTGGCCACAAATGGCCAGTTTTGGGGATTAGTGGCCTTAACCGGCCGATTTCGGCCTTTTAAGGCCGGATTCGTGGTTGTTTAGGGGGGACGAGAGTTTTGGGTTTGGTGGTTTTTAGGGGCGTTACGGTTGCGGGAAAGGGAGGGGGAGGGTTCAGGTGGGTTGGGGGTGGTGGTGCGACACGGGTGGTGAATTCGGGGAGGGTTGTGGTGAGTTGGGGGGGGGGGGGGGAGGCAGCGGTGGCGCGGGGGTGGCGCTGTGGTGGTGGCTGGGGTAGTTTTAAGGTTTTTTTTAATTTATCTTTTTTTTTTAACAAATAAAATGCTGACACGTGTTACTGTAGGCCACACTTAACGGAATTTTTGGATGAAAACCGTTAAGTGGTGGTAATACCAATTTTTTGAAATCTATTCATTTTTTTATGGGGTGTTAAAATCAATTTTCGCGTTTTTATGAGGTGTTAAAATCTAAAATAACCAAAATACAAATTAATGAGAACAGTAAAACACAATAAGGTAATCGATTGCGAATTGAAATCAATCAAATTAGCTTTCACAAATTCAATTAATATTAAAACAATTATTTCATCCACAAATTCATCTCAAAATAAAAAAAAAATTAATATTGATAACAATGAGTTCATAATAACAAACCTAGATTGATATCTTTGAGAATTTAAAATTGTTCCATTGAGTTAAATGCAGAAATTTAACGGAAAAAAAAATAATCAAAGAATAGAGGAGAGAGAAAATAAGAATTTGAAAAAAAGAAACGAAAAGAATGAAGTAAATTCAATAAAGAAATAAAGAGATGAGAGAGAGAAAGAGAGAGAGAGTTTCTGTAAAAAAAAAGGAAACAAAATTTTGTAAAGATGGTTGGAAGAAGAAGAAGAAAATGAATTTGTGTTTCATTTATATAAGATTGTGTTTTAATAGGGGTCTAGCTATTTTAAATGGACTAAGGTCCATAAAAGAATTTGTAGGGGCTAGGTGGGGTTTCGCGAGCAAGGGTTGGGGCTTAGTGAGGTTTGCTGGCAGAAGTGGTGGTTGGTTGGGGTGTGGTTGGTGGGGCAGGTGGTTGATTTGGGTGTGGTGGCAGGAGATGGGGGAGCTTTGTTAAGGGGATTGGTTTTTTTTTTTTTTTTTAAAAGCAATTATGTGGTGACATGTGTACGTTAAGTCGGATTATTGGCCGGAATTAAAGAAGGGTGGTGAAACCTATTGGTTTTGACATTAATACGTGATATTTTTTAATTTTGAAAAAAAACTGATGGTTAATTCAATACAAGGTCAGGTGGTTATTTACAAAAAATCTACAGTAAAAGGAAAAGTAGCAATGTAATTTTAAAACACCCAAAAAGAAAAGCAAGAATGTAATTAAGGGATGAAGTGAGTACTAATCTATATCTATCTATATATCTATATTAGAACCTAAGGCAAGAATTGTAATCATGCCACGTGTCATCATTTTTGTCACATGTCATCTTTTTTGCCACGTGTCGTCATGAATTGATAAATGATGTGGGGTCATGTGATTCATGTTATATTAAAACTAATCATCAATTTTCCCTCACAAAAAATTAATGTTTATAAATGCTAATTTTTTAATCCTCATTCTTTCGTTTGCTCATCTATACTTTGAAGAGATTTATAATGGTGGACAAAAATTCATTTAATAAAACAAGAAGTATAAAAGTTAGGTTACTGCATATTTCATAATGAATTTTATTAATGTTCAATAAAATTTATAAAAAAAATAATTTTTTTTAAATTATAAAACCATCAATAGATTTATTAAAGTTATTTTTTAAAACAATTTACTATAGTTTTTTATATAAAAAAAATAATCTGGACATCGTCCGTACCTTAAATTAGTTTGTGTAAATTAAAAAGCTCCAGCAAGGGTGATCACTATAAGAAACATTACCATCATGGTACAGACAGACAACAGCTGAACATCACTTTCATAATACACCACCACCAAATTTTTTTTTTTTAAAAAATAAATAAAATAAAAAACTCCTTTGCACGTGCTCCTCACCAATTTCCCCACCATCTTCCTTCTCTAGTTCTCTTCCAAAAATACACTAAAAAAATCAAAATTAAAGACAAAAAAAAAAAAAAAAAAAAAAAAAACACAAAACAAAAAAAACACAATTCATTTCTTCCTTCTCCCTTTTCCTCCTCTTAGCGTGCGCATCATATCAAATCACCAAAATTCATTCAAACCCCAACTCAAATTCCCCCCATCACATCACCATTATGTAGCTCAAGCTCAGCTAAGCTCAACTACACTCACTTTCACACAACTCCATTGAAGAACAATCTCCCATTTTAGAGAGAGAAAATTCAATTTCTGGAGAGAGAAACTGTGTTGTTTCTGTGAAGATGCAGATACAGATGCAAGCATACAACAGACTACCAAGCAGCGGTCATACGACGCCATCTCCGCCGCAATCGCCGTCAGTAAGGTCGCCGAGGTACCGCCATGGAAGGTCTAAGCAAGGTCGACCTGGACCTCCACCTCCAAGAACAATGGCGCATCGTTTGGCTTACTTGGTTTTATCAGTTTTGTTGAGGAGACAAGGGATTTTTCTTTTTGCGCCGTTAATTTATATTTCTGGGATGTTGTTTTATATGGGTACTGTTTCGTTTGATGTGGGTCCTGTCATTTCGCATCATCCTGCTCCTGGGTCTGTGTATCGGAGTCCGCAGTTGTATTCCAAGCTTCGGCCGGAGATGGATGCTGATAATTCTACTGCTGATGCGGTTAGTTTGTTGTTGTTTTGAGATTTTGATTGGTTTTCTTGGTTTTGTTTGATGGGAATTTTGTTTGGGATTGATTTCTTTGTGGAATTTTGATGTGGGGTTGACTTGTTTTTCGATTCGGGTTTTCGGGTTTTGATTGGGATTTTTGTGGGGTTGGAGAGGGATTTTTGAGGTGGGTTTTGTAATGTGGGTTGTTATTTTGATGATTTGAGCTCTAATTTGTGATTACTTAGGGAAAAAGAGAATGAGGGGGAGATTTGGTCCCATTTTTTTTGCTTCTTATGGCGAGATAGATGTGATTTTAGGATGTTTTAGTTTCGCCGGTATTTGGAAATTAGTTGAAGGTATTTAGGACCATTACTCTTAATACATTACCCTAATGGTTTCTGTTGAGAATTGCATTGCCATTTACTATGAATCGATGTTGAGTTTCCACTCGAGATGGTACAGTTTTCAGTGGAGTTGAGACCCTGTTGGTTGTGCATATATAGCAATAGCAGTGTGGTGTTACTGTGGTTGCCTGTTTGGTGCAGAATTTATTCGTCTTTGTAAGCTCTAGCTGCATTATTTTTATTTCGTCTCAAGTCATAAAAAACCTGGGTTTACTGTTGCTGGTGAAAGCTTGTAGCAATATAAACATACTGGCAAAATAGCATAATAAGCGCCTATTCCAAGTGATTTTATACCAGATCTATGTGGTGCACTCTTGTCTATCCAGCAAGAAGGACGCAACCCGGGATTATAAAGGGCTTGTGAGTTATGATAACGAAGTAACACAAGTGTGTCAAGTCTAATAGATGCTCTAGCCTGTTAGCAACATTAGTGGGGCTTGATGGGCAATCAAGTTGAGGTGGGCCCAAGTGGGTCCAATGATGAACTTTATCTTTCTAAGGTTATGTTGAGAATTCATCTGTTTTGGGAGATTTAAAACATGTGGTAACACAATATATAGAGAGACCTACGACAACACACACAAGAGGTAACAATGGGTTGGGGGCTTGGATTTCATTATTCAATTGCCTCCTAAAGAGCTTCTTTTTGGATTTACAATATTCTCCTACTGAACACTGGATTGATGGTAAAATAACAATGTCATCTAAATCCTTGCGTACTTAAAGAAAAGTCCTAGAATGCATCAAAGACATTGATAGGAGATTTGATTCTAACGATAAGCATAGAAACAAGTAAGATATCTTCACTTTTGTAAGAACCATTGCAAGCTTGTGATTTCTTTCCCTTTCTAAAAAGCCTAGGAAATTTTGTGCTATGGAATCGATAACAATACAAACTATTATCCTCCTTGCCTTTCTTCCTGGTTAGACTTTTCATAATTTTGCCTGACCTAGGATGGAAATAACCTGAAACAGTTTCAATAATGTTGGGTTTTGAACATTATTTGCAAACTAGAACTTGCTGGAATTCAAAGCTATCTGCTAGAAAGTGTGTCAAATCAGCCTCCTTGAGGTCAATCCATTGGGTTGAAGCATACATAATTAATGCATATTCAATTCTTTTAGCCTCTTTTTATTCCCTCCTTTTAGGATTTTTTACTTTATAGAATTTATCTTCACTTTCCTTTTGGTTTAGTTTAGTGACTTATTTTTTTGAAAGGCACACTATCCAAACCTGTGATGAAAATGAATTAAAACTAATCTGTATCAGCTTGATAAATCAATAATATTTTATAGTTATTACCATTATAATATTTGATATTGAAAGGTTAAATAGGTTATATGTATCTCTAACTAAAGAAAAAAGACACTTTCAACAAGTTGGGTCAACCCGAAACTTAATAGTTTGGATGCTAATCAACCATTTCTTGACCTAAAATAAAACAATTCATCCTATATATCATTGAACCTGATATACCTGTTAGGGTGGCAATAAAAAGAAGAAAACGGTTGGAATATTTTGTTGGACTTCTATAAACTTAAGGTGATTGCAATTTTATCGAATGCTCTCCCTCTGAGGTTGAGGCCAATCTTACTATAGCTCTAGGACACATGATGAATTAATTCTCTGATGGTGCCACTAACAGAATTGTGGAAAAATAGATCAATAATCATGACCCTCTTTTCTACATCGTGGCTTGTACATGTTGCTTTACAGTTTATGCCTTCACTACCTATTTTGCATAGAACCTTTAGAATAGATGTTTTCCCCGTGTTAAGTTGTAATCTCAACCGAGCATGTACGGAGGTTGTTGATTCTCAAAAGAAGGAATAAACAGCATATAGAATTATAAAAAAGGAGGCAGACTTTTGACCTTTGACTACTTCTGTTAATGATATTTGAGTGAAAAGGTCTTTTGATTTGTAGAGAATCGTCCAAATAGTCATTTAGTGGTTTTTTTGTTATCACTATTACTATTTAAAAAAGATTAGCGGTCAATTTCATAGGCCTTTTGTATCTCTATATGTTTGCAAAATTCTATTTCACGGTATACCCCATTGACTTGAAGAAAGTTTAATAGCTATCCTATTGGGGAAGTAGAGGAGAACCTTATTCGATTCAGGAATCAAACTTTGGTATATAAGGTTATAAGGGTTAGCTAACAAGATAATGTGTAAGACCTTCCGTTGGTGTTCAAATCTTTTAATGAATTTAATGCTCTTCAAATTGTGACCTAAATGGTATTTGCAAAGGTGGTAGAAGGCTAGTAAGGGCTGTAAAAGGGCAACACGACCTATATAAATCATGTCATGCAATCTGTGATACTTCACACAACACTGCTAAAAATACGCTATTAGTTCATGTCCGTCACTAGGTCCTCTCTTGCGGTTATTCTATGGTTTTTTTAATAAAAAGGAACATCAGCACTTTAAGCATAGATGTACATGTTGAGTGCTTGTGGGGTTGAATATTCCGTCTATTATTACTATACACCAATGCTTTGGTATTTTGTTGGGTTTGTCTTTCATGCTATCAAGCCTGGTTTTCATGCTCACTAAACACTTTGATTTAGATGACATATTTCTCTGTGGTTGAACTTATTAATTACATTTTTATTTTTTTTGTAAAATTCTTTTCTAAAATGCTTGCAAACATCTTGGCCTTTGGAGTTGGTTTAATTTGCACTTGTAGTTATATGTCTGTATTTGTTGCTAATAGGTCAATAGAATTAGATGTGGGTTTCAGTGTTGACTTAAGATATTTGTTTTCTTGTAGATATCAACTATTTGGAAAAATTCTTACAAGGGTGGTGAGTGGAGACCATGTGTAAACAAGTCTACTCCAGGAGGTATGAGTTTACTTGTTGGCTGTCGTTGAACTTAAATTTTGTTTGTTATAATAAGTTGTGCTTGACGTATGTGTACTTGTGCTCTTGAAGACTTCATAGTAATGAGAAAGGCATTGACTGTATAAAATCATTAGCATATTGGCATGTATTGTGATCTGAGATTATCTTGCTTGCTCTCAGTTTATGAGTTATTTTCAGCTGTTGCTGTTCCCTAGAAATTGCTTTGTCTTTTGATTTACATGGCATGGAAATTAAATTACTGGGATTTATAAGAAATTATTGACAAATAAAGACTACTTGGAAAACTGTGTACTTCATTAAGTATTAGCAGACAACGATCTAAGCTTCTGGCATATGAGGTGCTGTGAACTTTAGAGTGATTAGCAATTCACTGCTCTAAAGGGGTAGTCATTGGTGCTGCGAATAATTGGTTAGGGAAAAAAAATTTCCTTAGAAATACAACATGACATTGATATTTATAGAGGAATGGTAAATTATAATTAGGCAATGAGATCAGAAACTGAGCATGGCTACAAAACTCCAATTTTTTAGGTTGACAAAAATGAGGAGATTCCTTTTGGCATGAGTTAGTGGTACTTTGAAATTTAAATGCTTTGTGATTCATGAAGGAATGAGGCTTTCTCTACCATACACATGCAAGCTTACTGAGACCAATGCCCTTTGTGGCTTTACTTCAGCAATTGGCCCAATTTTTTGGAGTTTTCTTTAGTCAATCACTATCAGAATTTTCTTATGAGAGGTCTGTTACTTTGCATACTGTTATGCTTGTACAGTGACTGTGAGAGTCAATTTAATGTCCTTTTTCCTACAGTTGCAAATAGGTTTTTTTTTTTTAATTTTTTTTTAATTTTTTAAAATTTTTTCTTGAACCCTTCAATGGTAAAACTTATAAGTCAATATTGAGTGGGTAGATTAAGATCAAATTAATTATGACGCAAGCTGATACATAAGAAGCTGCCGATGACACAAAACTAGCCAAGTAGCCAGAATAGAAAAAAATTAAGACAATAATACTTGATTTACTTTTATTCTTTCTTTTTTTTTCCCCTCTGTAGGTTTCTTAACCTTATGCTCCTGTTATGATATTTGCCAATCAATTGTATTCCTCTGTGTTTATAATATTGTCCTAGCTTGGCTGATGCAGTTTCATATGATGTATCTGTTCTTGTAAATGATTTGTTACATAATTTTGTTCATTTCTGAAAATATCTAATCTGAAGCACGTGTATTCATAATAGGCTTGCCTGATTCAAATGGTTACATTTATGTTGAGGCAAATGGTGGCTTGAATCAGCAGAGAGCATCGGTCTGTTCATTGCATCGATAGTTCATTATCCACTTTCTACTGTCAATCTCATTTTTAGGATTGTTTTCTGAGTTTGATCTGTGTTTTGTTCTTTGGTTGTCATGATTGCCAGATATGCAATGCAGTTGCTGTGGCAGGCTATCTCAACGCCACGCTTGTTATTCCAAATTTTCATTATCATAGCATCTGGAGGGATCCTAGGTTTGTTGTGACTTAATTACTGTTGTGATTCAATGTAATTTATGTTTTAGTGTACTATTTGTTAGAGTTCAGTAACATAAAATGAATTTCTGTAAAATGTAAAAGATCTCATAAGTTCTAATTCCAGTGAATAAACTTAAGTGGTCTTTTAGTTAAGTGGTTTTTTTTTTTTTCCCCTAATACTTTGTAGGTACTAAAATTCTTTTTTTGGTACTTCCATTCATTTATTACTGCAACCTTTTCTTTTCATGGTCTACAGTGCAAACCTTCCACCATTAATATCTTAATTACATGTCACTACCTTTGTTGATGTGGTGAGTGGACGTAAGAAATATGCAAGTATGTAGAAAGGTGGGTAGGTGTAAGAAACAATAATTGGATTAAGTAAGAGAGTGAGTAGAAAAGTGTAAATTTTGTGGGGTAAGAGGGGTAAACTAGTAACAGGACTTTGCTAAAAAAGGAATAAAGTGAAACTGTTTATACTTTTTAGAAACGAAAGAACTTCTAGAATATTATGTAAATTTGATGTTTACAAGATGCACCTTAAAATGTATCTAACAAGATCACACATGTTAAGCTATTTTTCATTGCCTGAAAAAAAAAATGGTAAAAGTTTGTGGAGTTTGACCACCATTTATGTGCTGATAATAAATTAGAATGGGTGAAGGATTTGATCATTTGGAATCTTGTGAATTGACTTGGAGCTTTGGTTTTTTTGTTACTAATTTTACTTCATGCTCTGCAGTAAGTTCAATGACATATACGATGAAGAGTATTTCATGAGTATGTTGCAAAATCACGTACGTGTGGTCAATATGATTCCTGATTACCTGATGGCTCGTTATGATCACAACATGAGCAATGTTTACAATTTCAGAATAAAAGCATGGTCTACTATTCAATACTACAAGGACAATGTCCACCCAAAATTGCTTGAAGAGAAGTGAGTGAAAAACCCTTTCCCTCTTTCATTCCATATAAGTTATGCCTACTATGTTGAAATTTGAATAAAAGCTCGAGGGAACTCTGTCATATAAAATATGTACTGCTATTGTTTCCTTGATATCTGGATATTTTGAATCATCTAAGTGGTTATGTACTACTCATGTTTTTATTTAACTGATTGAGGAAGTATAAAATCTACTCAACCTTCTGCATTGAGATCCCACCCCCCCGGGCATCTTTTATAACAACGTGAGAATTTCATTTATGAAGGACTGTGTTGGCTCGGGCTGTGCTGCTGATCTCATAGCTCTAGACTATGGTCTTGGGTACATATGTTTCCTTTTCGTTGCTCTTCCATTGCTCTAGAAGGGAGGGATGAGAGGAGGAGGACGTGAAGGGATCTAGAACTCTAAAAGTGTTTATTTTTATTAAAAGTAGAGATATGTAGATGTGTAGCTTGGTTTCTTAGCTACTCTCATAGAAGCTTCAGGACATGTATCTTTTGTTTAATATCTCTTATGGTGCCTTTCTAGTATATTTTAAAATAAACAAAAACCTGATCAGAAAAGTCCCTAACTATTGCCAGTCTTCTCTTAATAGTTCTAATCTTGTGTTACCTAAAAAATCCTATGTTTTGTGTCTTCCCTAAATAATCCAATTGAATATATTGACTTATACATGTCAAGTTGTGATTGGCTATTGTCATTACACCAAGATGCTTCTTTTTTTAAACTGCCTTGTAAGGTTCTTTAGGTGGGCTTGAATTCATTGGTATTATGCTGCATTGTAATATACTAACTACTATGTTGGGAACTACAATACTAATGGAACGCCATGGAAGTATTTAACGGATGAACTCTTCTTTGATGCCTATTAGTAATTTCCTTGCTTTGCTGATGGGCTATTTGATGTGGTCGAGGATAAAGTGGGATTAGATGCATTGATGGAGCTTTAATTTGATCCAAATGACGTTGATATATCAATATTATCAGAGGTGTTCCTGTTTATCTGATTAAATTTGTACTTTAGTGATGACGCCAGGGTGGATGCAATTGTAGGTCTTGGTGGAAGTGATGTAATGGGAGAAAATAAGAATCTGGAAGAGAATTCTAGGGTTGCTGGACTGGGTGTGAGACTGGGTGTGAAGGATTGCTAAGGGAGAAAGAGGAGAGACAAGGGAGGAAAAAATTAAAAATCAAATTAAAGTTTTCATGCGTTTTTGAGTTTTTGATTTTGAATTATTTGGTATTATTTGGGGATGACACTGTACACAGTTGGGGTTATGTTGAGATTACCCATAGTTTGGGGTTATTACAAGCAGATAAAAAATGTTCGGGCCTACTCTTAACAATTTAAGTTGACATGCAATATGAAAATACAAAAAAAAATAAAATAAAAAAACAATTTAAGTTGACAAGATTACCAGCAATCCTCCTAATAAGATCTGAAAAATGATTCCGAATTTGTGTATCTGATATGGACCTTCCAAGAATAGTCCCTGTAGCTACTATTTTCCTAATTTTTTCCATATGATATTCAATGAGGGAGATGTGGTGTTTTCCAGGAAAAAATTAATAATAATACAAAGTTCACAGCTCATATGGAAAGAGCCATTTTATAGCAGTTGATATCTTGTTCTAGCTCACAGTTCTATTTCATTATTTTTCTGCAGTAAGTTTGTGAAACATCAAACAAGCTGTACATTTGCACCGTATTTGATATCTTGACCATTTGCTTAAAAGGTTGTGACATTTTCTAAATCCACTACAGGATGCTTTTTATTTATTTATTTTTTTTAAACTAATCATCTCACCCATAGCCTGAGTGGTGATACTATTGACTTTAAGTGATTCTAGTATCTTAATTATCAGACTTCTGTAGACGTCTTGCCAGTAATTTTACTTGGATAAAGTTTTTGGAAGGACTTGATTTATGTACTACTGGTCCAATGTAGAAATTGTTGACTTTTATATCTGTTTGTCGTGTTTTTTCTTGTATTGTATTTCTTAATTATTTTTTTTACCATCCAATTTCCTCTAATTTTTTTCATGGAGGGAAGTCTTCTTCTCATTTTTTTTCCGTTCCCTTTTCAAAAGTTTTTATCAGGCCAGAGGTGAAACTGGATGAAAGTTGTAACTATCAAGTATTTTATTTCCCAAGTCCTTGCCTAAAATATTCTGGTCTGAGTTATATAAAGTAATTATCTTTCCCCCTGAAAGGACTTTACCGTGCTGATCCTTTTGGTGGAGAACCAATTGGCTTCACTTTGTTGTTTTCCTTTGTTTATTAATGCTGCGTCATGTACAACTTAGGGTTATAAGGATCTCTCCATTTGCAAATCGATTGTCATTTGACGCTCCTCCAGCTGTTCAACGGCTTAGGTGCTTAGCAAATTATGAAGCTTTGAGGTTCTCAAGCCCAATCTTAACCTTGGGGGAAACACTGGTTGCAAGAATGAAAGAGCGTAGTGCAAGTAGTGGTGGCAAATATGTATCCGTGCATCTTCGATTTGAAGAGGTTAGATTACATTATCTTGCTGTCTTTTTTTTTTTGAGAGTTCAGATTTTGCTACTTCTGGGTGCTAGAGGGGACATACTTTATGATATTCATTGAAGTTGATTTCTTTTCTTTTTCTGGTTTTATTACAGGATATGGTTGCGTTTTCTTGTTGTATATTTGATGGTGGTCGGCAAGAAAAATTTGATATGGAGGCAGCAAGAGAAAGAGGTTGGAGAGGCAAATTTACTAAGCCTGGTAGGATCATTCGTCCTGGTGCCATCAGAATTAATGGAAAGTGTCCACTTACACCTTTGGAGGTAAGAACTTGTCGTTTTGAGGCTTCTAGGTGGTTTAGCTGGGTTATTATGTGGTTTATAAATTCCCTCCACCTCCATTTTCTTTTTCCTATTGCAACTCATTTTAGGACTTGTATGAAGCTATAAAACCATTTCAGAATTAGACGAAAATGTTTGGTGAATACCTTGTTCTGTTTTGTTGTTCTCTATAGCAATCTAGTTTCAGAGCTATGTAGGGTTTTGTTTGTTTCTTTGGATGTTTGTTTGTTTGTGTGTGTGTTATGGATTCCCATTCTGAATTTCAAGAGCAGCATGATGATCTATGTTGCAGAAACTGGCAATTATAGATGTATGGTAAGATTTGCAAGAGTTTTGTTATTACTTCATAATTTTTTTAGGGTGCTGTATACCCTGTACTATGCACTTCTTACCATAACACATCCATGTGCACATAATGCTCTTGCATGTGAAAGGAGGCTGATATTCAAAATTTCAAATGTATGTAGACCTTGCCCTTGCTATCACTGAGAGACTGTTTCTGGTAGACCCTTACTCTAAACATTAACCTACTGTAGTCTGAAGCTCTGATCTGATGCCCTGTCTGCTATGATCACTGACAAATAGCATCTAAGGTGGAAATAATATGTAGAAAACAATCATGCATTTGAAAAAGGCAATAGGAATATTAACTGGACTGTTCATTTATTTTTGGGGAATTTCCATTGGTGGCCCTAGGTTTTTGCATTTTACTTTTGGTTTCCATTTATTTAGGAAATCTAACAAATTCTCGTATTCTTAATTATTTTATGAAGTAACTGTGCTATATGGAGTCGATTCATTTATAGTATTCCAAGTCTAAAATAATTAGTCACAATCCACAACACTTTCACAATCTGTATAATTTTTTTTTTTTTCCAGGGGAGTAAGGTTTACAAATTACAAGGATACTTGGTTAGTTACATTAAAAACTTAAGGGTATTCAGCTTTTGTTGCTAAGCCGCTAAGGGCTAACCTAACCTCATTTAGTATGTAAATCCTTTTGGGGGTACCCTGTGAAAATATTTAAATATGAATTGTTTGGGGTTTTGAATGAATCACCTCAAAGTACAGAAGTACTGGGTAAAAGATACCAAGCTATTGACTATTTGACTAGGCATGCACTAGTAAAAGAATTTCAGGAACCAGGATAAGCAAAACTGATGCCTAGAAGGCTTATGCTTATCCTAGATATTTTCAGCTGTTTGTATTTCTGCAACTGGATAAATGCAAACATATTATATAACCTATGAGTTTTATTAATTTTTTTATGCACTAACAGCTATATTGAAGGCAAATTGGATTTTCAATGAACTTAAGATCTCAAAGAGCCTGTGAAAAGCATTCAATGGAAGGGGCATTGAAGAATAGCAATCTTACTGTATTTGTTCCTTGTTGAGACCTAAACTGGTAATCTTGGGAGGTTAAACTATTGTAAGGGTCCTTTGGCTGTGAGTAACTGAGTATTGGTTGGAATTCTATTACAATAAAAGTCTAAGCCAAAATCTTCATCATATTCATATGGGGGACTTCTACCTTAGTTTCTCCTATATTAACTTGGAAGGAGTATTAGAATTGGATAAATTTCAAGAATTAATACAAGTATAAACAACTCAACTAAGAATTTGGATGCGGGCTTTATTCATGTATTGCTTTAATCCTTGAAAAAGACACGAGTATTAGTATATTTGTCATCTGCTCAGTCATGATCGTCATAGGACTTTTGAAGAGCTCACCCATTCTTATGTAACTCTTGGTCATGTATACATGAACATCTTGTCTTTAGAGCTCCAAGAAATTTGCTCTTGAAATGTTACATACTTACGTAGGACTTTTGTTGTCCTTAACTTTTCCCGTGACTTGCATTTCAAGACATATATTACTCTGTATATATTTAAGTCAATCTGAAGATACATTGCAATATGTTTGCCTTTTGAATCAGGTTGGTTTGATGCTTCGTGGTATGGGCTTTGATAGAAATACATCTATATATTTGGCTTCAGGAAAGATATATGACGCTGAAAGAAATATGGCCCCATTATTTGAAATGTTTCCTCTTTTGCAAACTAAAGAGATGCTTGCATCTCCAGAGGAGTTGGCACCATATCAGGTTTGTATATTTGCATCCTTTACATTATATGCTTTTTGTCTGGTAAACTTTCTTACTCCTAGTCCTCCCCTTTTCTCTCCTTTATTACTCTTCCCCCAGAATTATTCTTCCAGGATGGCTGGTATAGACTATACAGTTTGCCTTCATAGTGAAGTTTTTGTTACCACTCAAGGAGGTAATTTCCCTCATTTTTTAATGGGGCATCGGAGATACTTGTACGGTGGGCATTCAAAGACAATTCGTCCGGATAAGCGAAAGTTGGCACAAATTTTTGATAATCCTAGTATTGGGTATGCATCAGTCTCTTAATTATGGTGTCTTTATGCTATTACTTGGTTTATGTCTTATGAGTGGATTGGTGTGTTTTCCTATTTGAAGATTTTAAGGATTTTGGTCCAATTGAGATGCTTTTGGATCTGCATTGAATGTTCTTTGATTATCTTAACTAATTAGTACTAACACAGATCAGAAATCATGCGTGTAAAATACTTGACTTTTTTTTTTACTTTACTCACTCAAAGGGAAAGTGGGACTGTTTCCCCCTTTTTACTGTAGTCCTTTTACATTCCAATTTTGTGATTCAGTTGAGGTAGAAGATGGAGGAAATTAGATGCTCAAGGAGGTGGAGGTTAGGACTTAGGATTTAGAGCGGATATTTGCTCTTTTTGTTCTACTTATAAGGGTTGTAGTTCGTAGAAACCTTAAAAAATAAAAGCATTTTTAGTTAAGTCTTTCAAAGATCTTAATATATTTTTCTCCCTGTAATCCTTGGCTATTAGATTTGTTGTTGATTGTCTAGTTTTAGGAAAAAGGTTAAAAGAAATTGTTTTCATCTAAAGAAAAATTCTTTAAAAATCCAAATAGTTTGGATTCGATTGGTTTCATCAGGTTTATAAACATTAGGTGATTTATCCATGGTAACATCGAGGCTTTATAGACTTAGAGTAACATTCAAATTGACCCTATGATTTTGCAAATACTTGAAGTAACCTTGGGTTATTGGAAAATCTTATCCAATAAACTCACTGCTAAAAGGAAGCTAAAGTTGTTAAAAATAAAAATGGTTTCTCTTCCCCTTAAATCCTTCCTCTTTTCTGTCAATTGTGTATTTTCATACCTCCGGAACAGGATGAGATAAGGAGAACAAATATCGAGAGAGAAAGATATACATATATATGTAAAATATATATATATAAGTTGATAAAGAGTATTTAAATAGTCTAGTCATGATAAAGAGAAAGGAGGAGAAAGAATGGAAGTGTAAGTATTATGTATACCGAGAGAGAGAGATGTGAAGAGGAAATTGAAATAAAACTTTTAAAAAGTACAAAATGATAAAGAGAGTTAAAATAGTTTTATTAATGATAAAGAGAAAGGAGGAGAAAGAATAGGAAGAATATATAATGAGAGAGAAAAAAAATGTAAAGAGAAGGAAATATAAATAGAACTTTTAGAAATCACAAGTTGAAAGAGAGTTTAAATAGTCTAGTAATGATAAGAAGTAGGGAGGAGGAGAAAGAACGAAAAAAGGATAAGGTATGAGTATATTTGACAATGCTAGATTGCCTTGACCTCATCTTAAAAGCATAGGGTCAATTTGAGTCTCTCTCTCTCTCTCTCTCTCTCTCTCTCTCTCTCTCTCTCTCTCTCTCTCTCTCTCTCTCTCTCCCTCCCTCTCTCTCTCTCTCTCTCTCTCTCTCTCTCTCTCTATATATATATATATATATATATATATATATATATATATATATATATATATCAGCATGCTGATGGTTAGAAGTGTTGGTGAACATGCTTGTAGTCTGTACAACTATTTATATCAGCATGGTGATGATTAGAAGTGTTGGTGAACATGCTTGTAGTCTGTACAACTATTTATATTGGCTCTTTGGGCTTGCTTAATAATATTTTTATAGCTTAGTTTTGGAATGAATTGTATTTGCAAAGTTATGATGTTGATATCAGCTAAATGTCATTTTTACTGGGTTGGCATAATCAGATGGAAAACATTCAAGAGGCATATGCTAAACATGCGATCACATAGTGATTCCAAGGGTTTCGAGCTTAAAAGGCCAAATGACTCTATATACAGCTTCCCATGTCCAGACTGTATGTGCCGAATCGGTAAATCAGAAGATTCAAGATCAGCGTCTGCAACGTGATCTCCTGCCATCAAAATCATATGGATAATCTTTCATGTTAATGGTTCTACAGATGTGGCTAACTGCCAAATCTATTTTACATTGATTCTTTCATTCTTTTCCCTTTTCCTTTGTGGAAAAAAAAGGGTAACACAGTTCAGTTTTGGAACTCCAACGATTTGGTTGGACGTTGTGGTCTGATTATTTGACCAGAGCAAGGCATCACATCTTTTTGTACATGATCTGGAAGTAGAAGTGACGCCACAGTATCTTTACATTGAAGGAATTGCTCTGGTATTGACTATACACTCGGTTGCAGCTGCTGTATCTAACAAGCTGCAAAATGACATTGCCATTTGTTTATCCACTAATTTTGTCCATTCTTTTCATTTTGGTTTTTTCTTTTAATTAATTTTTTTTTATTATTGTATATGATACGATTTGGACAATTGTAAAATTGTACAAAGCATGTTGGAGCTCTGTACTAGTTGTTTGTTATCATCTAGAGTAATTCATTCTTTTAAAATAGTGTTGTACTCTTGTGTGTGCGCATTGCTTTCTGGTGGTTTTTGTTTTGAGGTTAATGTAGATAGGTTAGGAATTAGGCTGCGCTCCAGTTTAGATGCAACTCCAGCCTACTGTTGTACTTGTTCATGTGAGTATGATATCAGGAATTTGACTGCAGAAACTCCCTATTTGGCAGTAAGATTATAGGATCTATCATTCTATCCCTCTCATTACAAACTAACCCTTGTGCTTCAAAGTGCCTTGTCAAGTTATCAACTTGTCATTTTCTAATTTCGTATCCCAGCCACTTGAGATCGAGGACTTTACATTACAAAGGTTCAACTGTTTGCCTTTCTAACTACTGATGGATGTTGGCTAGGCTAAGCCAAGTGCCAAGCTCGAATGCTTATCGTCAATGGATCATGTTAACATGTGCTTGTGTGCCTATGTCAAGTGTCACTTATATGCGTTTGTCTTGTTATATATATATATAACAAAAATCTGGTGAAGGCAAGGCCCACAATCTATCTTGCAAAGGCATGGCTTCATTCACCTTTTGGATGAGAAAATACAAGTTTATGTCTTCGATGAACAAATTTTGTTTATCAAATGGCGAAATAGTAAATAAATCAAGGAAATTTTGACTTTTGCTACCTATCAAACACATCAATTTTATTTTAGCTACCTATGAAAACTTTTATTTTATTTTACTACCTAACATATGCTCTTTTTTTAACTTTTGCTACCAGTTAACGAAATTCGTTAGGTTCCGTTAAGTTTATTTTAAAAATAAATAATAATAAAATTATATTAAAATTAAAAAAAAAAACCCAAATGCCCAGCCCAGCCCTCTCGTCAGCCACTCAGCCACCCTCCCCCTGCCGGCGACCGGCACCCAAAGTTGCGGCCGGCGCCGGCAACCCTCTTCCACACCCTTTCCCCACCAACGCAACCCAGCCCCCTCCCTTTTCCCCTTCTTGTTGCCCCGACCCCAACCACCACACCGAAACCACAATCGCCACACACCAATCTCTCTCCTCTGTCCTCTCGGCGTTTCTCCGGCGAACCCACAATCGCCACTCCGGTTTCGAGCTCGGTTCTTCTTCAACCTCAGAAACAATTGTCCCCCCCTCTCCCCCACCTACCCCCTTTCCACCACACGCACCACCAGCAACTCTACCCCCCCCCCCCCTACACACACACAGCCACACCCACCACCAGCCCACCACTACCCAAAATTTTTTTTAAAAAAATTATAATAAATTGATGGAAAAGGGTAAACATACCTTATGATCTTCAACTTTTGGTTTATATGGTTAAATTCGACCATGAAAACCCTAGATCTGGAGTTTTCATGGTCGAATTCGACCTAAAAAACCATTAATTGGTCGAATTCGATCTATCGTGGGGGTGGGTGGCGCCGGACTTCGAAAACCGAGGAGAGAGAATGAGAAGGGAGGACCGGAGGAGGGAGGCGGAGATTAGAGAGAAAGATGAGAGCGGCGGTGATGAGAGAGAAAAAGAAGGGAGGAGGGAGGAGATGAGAGAGAAAAAGAAGGCTGTTTTTTTTTTAATTTTTTTTTTTTTTGTTGGCTGACGGGGAGGCATTTAAGGTGTCTAAGGCGGGAGGAGTGGCCGGAAGGTGGTAATGAGGGTGGCAGGATCTCAATAACGGAATTATTAACGGATTCCATGATCTGGTAGCAAAATTTAAAAAACGGGATTTGATAGGTAGTAAAATAAAATAAAACTTTTCCCAGGTAGCAAAAATGAATTTCATGTGTTTCAGAGGTAGCAAAAGTCAAAATTTCCATAAATCAACTACTTTTTATTAAAATTGGATCAACAACACACACACACACACAAAAAAAAAAAGTTATTGATTTATTTACGTTTTTGACATTTTATAAACTAGGACTTCCTCCTTTTGGATTCGTAGAAAAATGCTTCAAAAATGAAAATGCAGTATGTTTATGATTTGGTCACATTTTTTTTACAACAATCTTGTAATCTAACTCAAAATTTGGACATTCAATTGAAAACATAAAGACAAATTGAGAGGACAGTACTCTTTTGAAAGTGAATACCACAAGCCTTATGATGTGCCATGATTTGATTGGATTAATTTGCCATGTAATCTTTGACTTTTCAAAGCATATTTTAATTAATTCTTCTCAGTAATTTTTAAAATTCATTTTTTATTTTCAAATATTTTATTTTACGAAATTCTTTTTTTAAGTTCTTAATTAATTTCAGAAAATTAAAATTATATTAAAAATAAAAATTAAAAAATTAAAATTAAAAAAATAAAAAACAATTCTTCATTGTTCTCATCCAAAATCAGTACTTTTCGAAAATTTGTCACTTTTATTCAGCAATTCATTCAATGTTTCAAAGCTAGGTCCGATATATTCATGTCGTTCATCAATTCATGTTTCAGCGTTTCGATTTTTTTAGTTTTTGTATTTAAGGTTTTTGTTCTTAAAAAATCTCAACAACAATTGCATTTTTAAGTATTTGTTAAGGAAGAATTACCCACACAAGTGTTTACAATATCATGGTGGCCGGTGGCATAGTGATTTAGGCTAAATGATGGGTGTTTATTTGACTTCCGGTGGCATAGTGATGTAGGCTGAATGGTTGGAGTTTATTCGACTGTATAATAGAAGAAGACTGTAGGGAATATTTTAAGCATTACCCCAAACTTGAACCCCATTGTGATCATACACTTAAGTACGGTGGCGTCCAAAGGGAAGGAAACAAGAGCAAAAGAGTCGCCAACAAGTTTTAGGAACTTGTAAACCGTTCATAGGGTGAAGGTTACACCCCTTAGCGATCCAGGAGATCGTTAACTCCAATAGGTCTGGAACCAAGACTGGGAGTTCGGGGATGAAGGTACAAATCCAATCTAAAAGAGATTGAACCTGTCCTAATAATAGGCCTATACTTTATTCTTCTCGTATTCATGTGCGCTTTCTGACTAACATGCAATCAATAGGTTTACCCTAAACCTGTTTATCTATGTTGGTTGAATATTAATGCACAAATAAAACTATTATTATTGGCGATCACTTGAATTATTATAATCAAATTAACCCTAAACAAGATTATTAATTATCTTATTAAGCGTGATTACAAGTACAAATTCTCTTTAAACATGCAATAAAAGGTGTGATCAAGCAATAACAATATATCAAGCAACATAATAATAATAATAATAATAATAATAATAATAATAATAATAATAATAATAATAATAATAATAATATCATAACAATCATAATCATGTTAAAGCATAACAATAGCACAATCCTAAGCTTTAATCCTAACATTATACTAGCATGATATTAGGAAAGAAAGTAGGAAGCATCATAGAAATCATAATTGACATTATATTCTTTACCCTAAACATCATACTAAGAAAAGCATCATAACATGATACTAGGAATCAAAATAAAATAACCTAAACATGATTTCTATATCATAATTAATGTCAATTAAACAACTAAAACACTTACTTGGATGCCTCGTACCTCTTTCTAATAACAAAATACACGCGTTAGTAACTTCAAGGAAAATAATAAAAGCAACAATTAAATTAAATAAATATTAAGAAAGTTTCGACTAGATTTGAGACCAAATCCTCAGAAATCAAACCTTTCACGTCTAGGGCGAAGGCAACTTCGAACTATGCTAGGTGTGTCTAGATCTTGTGAATGCGGAATTTTGTATTTGAGAAAAGGTTGGTTTAGAAAGAGAGAGAGAATATCAAGAATTTCTTGATGAGAGTTGGTGATTAAAAACGGAGGTTTACGAAGGCTATTTATAACGAAAACTAGCCGGAATATGATAAAAAAGAATTAGAGTTTCGAAAAGAATAAAACATGACTGCAGCGTCACACACGCCCCTGTCGCTAGGCGACAAACGTGTCGCCGCGCGCCAGGCCTGTCGCCAGGCGACAACCTGTAGTGCGGCGCTGCAGGCAGTTTTCCACACGTTTTCATATTTTGATAAAATTTAATCGTACGAAGGGTAAAACTGTAATTTCCTTAAAAACACTTCTTTTATTCTAAATAAAACTCTTAAAACTCATTTACCAATGCTAATTAAATTAGGATTCAAAAGAACCTTCTAGAGGATTTTAGAAAACTGTAATCAATCCTAATTGCATTAGGAATGATAAATCATAATAGGCCCTCCTCTAGATCATTGGGCCGCATAAAAAAATCAAACCGGGCCCAGTTTAGTAATTTGGCCATAACTTCCTCATTATTCATCGGAATTGAGCATATAATATATCGTCGGAAAGGTTTTTTTCAAGCCCCATCCAACTACACTATTATTGGACCCATATCATGGACCAAACTAAACTTGAATGCACGTTTTTCATAAATAGGGTAAGAAAAGAATTATTTTCAAAAATAGAAAGAAGAGATATTTTAATAAAAACATCCTCATCACTAGACTTTTCACACTTTCGCTTTGTTCGATAGTCAAATGACGTGAAAGGTATTCATCACTGGTTTTGGTTTTAGGGAGACAGATTTGGGTGTCTACAGAAGCCCCCACTTTGACTGAGTTTGGAGAAACGCAAGTTTTGAAAACAAAAGTCAAAGTATCGATAGGGATGGAGAATGATTCAGAACGTTCTGCAATCCTAAATTATTCTTGTAACGCCGATACCTGTAAACTAGAATTAGTTAAAACAGATAAGAGAGATAAGAAACGCGTATCTTGCACCGTCGAGCACACGTCTCTGAGAGTAACCGATTTGTGTTGCATTGTTGTTGTGACAACCTTCCACAAGCTAGGGAATGCTATCTTTCTGTTTTGACGATCATCCTCAAGCTAGGGGATACCGCCTGAAGACTGCTACACCCCGTAACTGCCTCCTATTCCGTTGTGATAGTCTTTTGCAAGCTAGAGAACACTATTGAAGATTGCTTTGCCTGAAACGATCTTCATTTTCCTTGTGACATCTTCCGCAAGCCAGGGAATATGACCGAAGATAACTTCGCTTGAAATCACCTCAATTGTTTGTGACAACCCTCCGCAAGCTAGGGAATGCTGCCGAAGACATCTTCTCTTGAAGTCATCTTCATTAGTTGCGATAATATTCCGAAGAAAATTACTGTAACACCCCAATAATTCTCTCTTAAAAACCTGTGAGAAACCTGAACAATGTTAAGAGAATTACTAGCGTGCTACCGCCACGTGTCCAAACGTTAAGGCTATCTCAGAAATTAGCAGCGGAAAACTAAAACAGTTATAAATAAACTTCAAAACAAAAGGATTAAATCAAAATAAGTGTTACAAGTTGGAACCATTAAGACCCTTATTCAAAACCCAATAAAAGTAGTAAGTAATTAAATCCCTT